GAAGCTGCAAGGCCATTCAATGCTGTTCAAGCTAACCCATTGCAACATTGCCTCAAAAGGATCCCCCCCTCCCTGAGGCATGAGGCAGCCAGGCTTTGAAGCTGCAAGGCCATTCAATGCTAGTCAAGGTGTCCAATTGCAACATTCATTGTCACAGAATCATAAGAGTTGGAAGAGACCTCCTGGGCCATCCAGTCCAACCCCATTCTGCCGAGAAGCAGGAAAATTGCATTGAAAGCACCCCCGACAGATGGCCATCCAGCCTCTGTTGAAAAGCTTCCAAAGAAGGAGCCTCCATCAAACAGACAAGAGTTCTTTCTCCCGCCCTGGACATCATTCCACAGATCTATAAACCCCACTTGCCGAATTTCCAAGAGACCTCCCAACCTCTGAGGATGGCTGCCATAGATGGGGGCGAAATGTCAGGAGAGAATGCTTCTGGAACAAGGCCAGAAGACTCACAGGAACCCAAGGCTTCGTTGGTTTGCCTTTCCCCATTTGCCACCTTTCTCCAAGAGCAGGGCCCAACTCTTTCCAAACTATTTGAAACAATGGATTGCAAAGAAAACGTGGACATCATCATCATCGTCATCATCATCATTGTTGTTATTGTCGTCGTTGTCATCATCATCATCGTTATTGTTGTTGTTGTCGTCATCGTTGGAGTCTCCCTCTTCCTCTGGACTCCTTCCAGCTTAGACTCAATCTCTCTCTTGGAATGATTTGCCCAGAATTGGTGATTCCAACCCTCTTCTGCCAGACAGGAAAAGCACAATCAAAAGCCTCCCAACAGATGGACATCTAGCCTCATAGACCTGAGTGGGTTCATGGAGCTACAGGGCTTTAGAATCAGACTCGCAGAGTTGGAAGGGAAGGGAAGGGAAGGGAAGGGAAGGGAAGGGAAGGGAAGGGAAGGGAAGGGGGAAGGGAAGGGAAGGGAAGGGAAGGGAAGGGAAGGGAAGGAAGGAGGAAGGAAGGAAGGAGAAAAGGAGGGAGAGAGAGGGGGAAAGAAGGAGGGAAGGAGAGAAGGAAGGAAAAAGAAAGGAAGAGAAGGAAAGAGAGAAGGAGGGAGAGAGAAAGGGAAAGAAGGAGGGAAGGAGAGAAGGAAGGAAAGAAAGAAAGATAGAGAAGGAATGAAGGAGAGAAGGAGGGAGAGAGAGGGAAAGAAGGAGTGAAGGAGAGAAGGAAGGAAAGAAAGAAAGTAGAGAAGGAAGGAAGGAGAAGGAAGAAAGGAAGGAAGAAGGAAGGAAGGAAGGAAGAGGGAGGGAAAGAAGGAGGAAGGAGAGGAAGGAGAAGAAAGGAGAAGAAGAGGGAGAGAGGGAAAGAAGGAGGGAAGGAGAGAAGGAAGGAAAAAGAAAGGTAGAGAAGGCAGGAGAGAAGAAGGGAGAGAGAAAGGGAAAGAAGGAGAAAAGGAAGGAAAGAAAGGTAGAGAAGGAAGGAAAGAAGGAAGGAAGGAAGGGGAAAGAAGGAGGGAAGGAGAGAAGGAAGGAAAGAAAGAAAGGTAGAAAAGGAAGGAAGAAGGAAGGAAGGAAGGAGGAAGGAAGGAAGGAAGGAGAGAAGGAAGGAGAGGGAGAGGGAAAGAAGGAGGGAAGGAAAGAAGGAAGGAAAGAAAGGTAGAGAAGGAAGGAGAGAAGGAGGGAAAGAAGGAGGGAAGAAGAGAAGGAAGGAAAGAAAGGTAGAGAAGGAAGGAGAGAAGGAGGGAAAGAAGGAGGGAAGAAGAGAAGGAAGGAAAGAAAGGTAGAGAAGGAAGGAGAGCAGGAGGGAAAGAAAGAGGGAAAGAAGGAGGGAAGAAGAGAAGAGAAGGAGGGAAAGAAAGGGAAGAAGAGAAGGAAGGAAAGAAAGGTAGAAGGAGAGAATGAAAGAGAGAAAGAGAGAGGGAAAGAAGGAAAGAGACAAGGAAGGATGGAACCAAAGAACAAATGAAGCAAGAAAAGAAACTGGTAGAGAAGGAAGAAAGAAGAAGGGAAAGAAAAAGAGGGAAGGAAGGAAGGAAGGAGAGAAAGAAAGAAGGAGAAAAAGAGGTGGACGGCCAGGGTTGAGGCTGCGTTCTCCAGGAAGGAATGAAGAGCGGAGAGAAGGAAGGGGCTTGGGACCCCCAAATAAATGCATGATCCCTGGGCCGGAGGGAGAGAAACCGGAGCCTTTGGGGGAGACCACGCATTCCGCAACAGGAGACCCTTCCCAGCCCAGAGATTCCACCTGTTAGCAAGAACTTCCCAACTGTTGGAGCTGCTTTATTGGAAACTTTGCCAACTAGGAGTCCAGTGAAGCTGCTGGATGGCCATCTGTCAGGAGGGATCGGATTGTATCTTCCTAGGTAGGCAGAAGAGCATTGGACTGGATGACTCTAGGAGCCTTTGATTCTCCAGCCCCATTTCTCCACGAACCAGCTAATGCCTATGAGACTGAATGACCATCTGTCAGGAGGGATCGGATTATAGAATCATAGAATTCTATCATAGATTGTGTCTTCCTACCTGGCAGAAGAGGGTTGGACTGGATGACCTTTGGCAGTCCCATCTGACTCTAGGAGCCTTTGATTCTATAGCCCTATTTCTCCGCGAGCCTGCTAATGCCTATGAGGCTGAATGGTCATCTGTTGGGAGGGATCGGATTATGTCTTCCTACCTGGCAGAAAAAGGTTGGACTGGATGACCTTTGGTGGTCCCTTTGATACTGTAGCCATATTTCTCCACGGACCAGCTAATGCCTATAAGACTGGATGGCCATCTGTCAGGAGGGATCGGATTGTGTCTTCCTACCTGGCAGAAGAGGGTTGGACTGGATGACCTTTGGTGGTCCCTTCTGACTCTAGAAGCCTTTGATTCCATAGCCCTATTTCTCCACGAACCAGCTAATGAGGCTAAATGGCTGGATGGCCATCTGTCAGGAGGGATCGGATAATGTCTTCCTACCTGGAAGAAGATGGTTGACCTTTGATTCTATACCCCATTTCTCCATGAACCAGCTAATGCCTATGGGGTTTAGATGTCCATCTGTCGGGAGGGTTTTGATTGTGCCTTCCCCGCCTGGCAGAAAGGGGGCTGGACTGAATGGCCCCTGGGGGTCTCTCTGATTCTAGAGCCCTGTTTCCCCATGAGCCGGCTGGACGCCCATCTGTCGGGAGGGTTTTGATTGTGCCAAGAACCTTCTAATGCCTATGGGACTAGATGTCCATCTGTCGGGAGGGTTTTGATTGTGCCTTTTCCTGCCTGGCAGAAGGGGGTTGGACTGGATGACCCCTGGGGGTCCCTCTGATTCTAGAGCCCTGTTTCCCCATGAGCCGGCTGGACGCCCATCTGTCGGGAGGGTTTTGATTGTGCCAAGAACCTTCTAATGCCTATGGGGTTTAGATGTCCATCTGTCGGGAGGGTTTTGATTGTGCCTTTTCCTGCCTGGCAGAAGGGGGTTGGACTGGATGACCCCTGGGGGTCCCTCTGATTCTAGAGCCCTGTTTCCCCATGAGCCGGCTGGACGCCCATCTGTCGGGAGGGTTTGGATTGTGCCAAGAACCTTCTAATGCCTATGGGGTTTAGATGTCCATCTGTCGGGAGGGTTTGGATTGTGCCAAGAACCTTCTAATGCCTATGGGGTTTAGATGTCCATCTGTCGGGAGGGTTTGGATTGTGCCAAGAACCTTCTAATGCCTATGGGGTTTAGATGTCCATCTGTTGGGAGGACTTTGATTGTGCCTTCCCCGCCTGGCAGAAGGGGGTTGGACTGGATGGGCCCTTGGAGTCCCTCTGATTCTAGAGCCCTGTTTCCCCATGAGCCGGCTGGACGCCCATCTGTCGGGAGGGTTTTGATTGTGCCAAGAACCTTCTAATGCCTATGGGACTAGATGTCCATCTGTCGGGAGGGTTTTGATTGTGCCTTTTCCTGCCTGGCAGAAGGGGGTTGGACTGGATGACCCCTGGGGGTCCCTCTGATTCTAGAGCCCTGTTTCCCCATGAGCCGGCTGGACGCCCATCTGTCGGGAGGGTTTTGATTGTGCCAAGAACCTTCTAATGCCTATGGGGTTTAGATGTCCATCTGTCGGGAGGGTTTTGATTGTGCCTTTTCCTGCCTGGCAGAAGGGGGTTGGACTGGATGACCCCTGGGGGTCCCTCTGATTCTAGAGCCCTGTTTCCCCATGAGCCGGCTGGACGCCCATCTGTCGGGAGGGTTTTGATTGTGCCTTTTCCTGCCTGGCAGAAGGGGGTTGGACTGGATGACCCCTGGGGGTCCCTCTGATTCTAGAGCCCTGTTTCCCCATGAGCCGGCTGGACGCCCATCTGTCGGGAGGGTTTTGATTGTGCCTTTTCCTGCCTGGCAGAAGGGGGTTGGACTGGATGACCCCTGGGGGTCCCTCTGATTCTATAGCCGTGTTTCCCCATGAGCCGGCTGGACGCCCATCTGTCGGGAGGGTTTGGATTGTGCCAAGAACCTTCTAATGCCTATGGGGCTAGATGTCCATCTGTCGGGAGGGTTTTGATTGTGCCTTTTCCTGCCTGGCAGAAGGGGGTTGGACTGGATGACCCCTGGGGGTCCCTCTGATTCTATAGCCGTGTTTCCCCATGAGCCGGCTGGACGCCCATCTGTCGGGAGGGTTTGGATTGTGCCAAGAACCTTCTAATGCCTATGGGGCTAGATGTCCATCTGTCGGGAGGGTTTTGATTGTGCCTTCGCCGCCTGGCAGAAGGGGGTTGGACTAGATGGGCCCTTGGAGTCCCTCTGATTCTAGAGCCGCGTTTGCCCATGAGCCGGCTGGACGCCCATCTGTCGGGAGGGTTTTGATTGTGCCAAGAACCTTCTAATGCCTATGGGGCTAGATGTCCATCTGTCGGGAGGGTTTTGATTGTGCCTTTTCCTGCCTGGCAGAAGGGGGTTGGACTGGATGACCCCTGGGGGTCCCTCTGATTCTATAGCCGTGTTTCCCCATGAGCCGGCTGGACGCCCCTCTGTCGGGAGGGCTCGTGCCCCCTTCCCTCCCCCCCCCTCCCTCTCCGCCTCTCTCTCACCGAATCGGCCGTGGTCCTGCCGCGTGCCGTGGACGGTGCCGTTGGGGAAGAGCTCGAGGTGGAACCCGGTGCGGCAGTAGAGCTGCCTGCGGCGGAGGATGCCCTTCAGGTGGGCGAAGTCGGTGGGCGAGCCCCGCTGCAGGCGCCCCTCGATCTGGCCCAGGCGCTCGCTCAGCAGCACCGCCGGAGACTCCCCCGCCAGAGAGGCCGAGAAGCCCGGCAGGGGGTCCCAGTCCGGGGACGAAGACGAGGACGAGGAGGAGAGGGGACCCCCGGGCAGACCCACCTCCGCCATCGACTGGCTGGCTGGCTGTCCTCCCCGCCTAGGCGCCTTCTCCTCTTCCTCGTCCTCTTCCTCTTCCTCTTCCTCCCCCGCGGGCCCTCCGTGGCCTTCCTCGCCTTCTTCTTCGCCTTTTGCGCCTCCGGACGCCTTTCATCGCCGCTGGGTCTCGCTCTGCGCCCCCACGCCCACCAGCCCGCCTTATATAGCGCTGCCGGCGCCGCCGCGTGCGTGGGAGCCGGGGAGGGGGACAGGCACCAAGCCCCTCCTCCTCCTCCCCCTCGCCCTTCATCCTCACCCACCCCGCCCCGCCTTCGGACACCAGCCCACTCCGGCACACCTCTCCCAACCTCCCAAACACATCTCCGAACCTCTCCAAAACTGCAAACCTCCCCGAACATATCTCAACACCGCTCCGAACCTCACCAAAACTCCCAAAACGTCTCCAAACACCTTTCCAGAACTCAAAACCTCCCCAAACATCCCTCCAAACCACACCAAAACTCCACAGACCTTCCCAAACGTCTGCAAACCACTCCAAACCTGCCAAAACATCCCCAAAACCTCTCTAAATCTCCCCAAACGTCTCCAAACACCTTCCCAAAACTCAAAACCTCCCCAAACCTCTCCAAACATCCCTCTAAACCTCACCAAAACTCCACAAACCTCCCTAAAGTCTCCAAACACCTTTACAAAACTCAAAACCTCCCCAAACCTCTCCAAACATCCCTCCAAACCACACAAAAACTCCACAAACATTCCCAAACCCCTCTCCAACCCTCTCCAGACATTCCCAAACCTCTCCAAAGCTCTACAAACCGCTCCAAACACCCTTCCAAAACTCCAAGCCTCTTCAAACATCCCCAAAGATCTCTTACACACCTCTCTGAACCTCTCCCAAACTTCACAAACCTCTCCAAACACATCTCCGAACCACTCCAAAACTGCAGACCTCTTCAAACGTCCCCAAATGTCTCTAAACACCGCTCCGAACCTCACCAAAACTCCACAAACCTCCCCAAACATCTCAAAACACCTTTCCAAAACTCAAAACCTCCCCAAACCTCTCCAAACCACACCAAAACTCCACAAGCCTTCCCAAACGTCTCCAAACCACTCCAAACTTCTACAACCCCTCCCAAACATCCCCAAAACATCTCCAAATCTCTCCAAAACTCCCCAAACGTCTCCAAAAACCTCTCCAAAACTCCAAACCTCTCCAAAGCTCTACAAACCGCTCCAAAAACCTTTCCAAAACTCCAAACCCTCTTCAAACATCCCCAAAGATCTTTTACACACCTCTCCAAACCTCTTCAAAACTTCACAAACCTCCCCAAACCTCTCCAGACACTTCTCCGAACCTCTCCAAAACTCCAAACCTCTCAAAATGTCTCCAAACATCTCTCCAACCCTCTCCAAAACTCCAAACCTCTCCAAATATTCCCAAACATCTTCAAACCTCACCAAACACCTTTCTAAAACCCCAAACCCCTTCAAATGTCCCGAAGAGATCTAACACACCTCTCCAAACCTCTTCAAAACTTCACAAACCTCTCCAAACCTCCCCAAACGTCTCCAAAACTCCACAAACCTCTCCAAACGTATCCAATCACCTTTCCAAAACTCCAAACCTCTAAAACCTCTCCAAATGTTCCCAAAGATCTCTAAACACCACTCCGAACCTCACCAAAGCTCCACACTTCCCCAAACTTTTCCAAACGTCTCCAAAACTCTCAGCCTCTCTAAACATCCCCAAACCTCTCCAAAACTCCACATACTTCCACAATCCTCTCCACTCTCGAAAACTCCAAACCTCCCCAAACCTCTCCAAAACTCCAAACCTCTCCAAAGCTTTCCAAACCCTCCCAAATGTCTCCAAAAATCTACAACCTCCCCCTAAAGTTTCCAAATACCTCTCCAAACCTCTGAAAAACTCCAAACCTCCCCAGACATCTCCAGACATCCCCAAATGTCTCCAAACACTTCTCCAAACCTTTCCAAAGCTCCAAAGTTCCCTAGATGTCTTCAAACATCACCAAACCTCTCCAAAACTGCAAGCCTCCCCAAATCTCTCCAAACGTCCCCAAACCTCTCCAAACACTGCTCCAAAGCTCACCAAAATTCCACACCTTCCCAAAGGTCTTCAAACCTCTCCAAAACTCCAAAACTCCTCAAATGTCTCCAAACATATCTCCAAAGCTCTCCAAACCTCCCCAGACATCTCCAGACATCCCCATATGTCTCCAAACACTTCTCCAAGCCTCTCCAAAGCTCCAAAGCTCCCCAGATGTCTTCAAACATCGCCAAACCTCTCCAAAACTCCAAATCTCTCCAAACGTCCCCAAACCTCTCCAAACACCGCTCCAAAGCTTTCCAAAATTCCACACCTTCCCAAAGGTCTTCAAACCTCTCCAAAAGTCACATGAGGAGCGAGAACATGCTGAGAAGCTGCTGAAGTTCCAGAGCCAGCGTGGCGGACGGGTTCTTCTGCAGGATGTCAAGAAACCAGAAAAGGATTCTTGGGGCAAAACTATTGATGCCATGGAGGCAGCCCTCCTCCAATGTCTCCAAACATCTCTCCAAAGCTCTCCAAAGATCCCCAGACATCTCCAAACCTCCCCAAAGGCACAAAAGCTTCTACAACCCCCCCCCCCCCCCCCAAGTCTCCAAGTACCCCTCCAAACCTTTCCAAAACTCCATACCTCCAAAGCTCCAAACTTCCCCAGAGGTCTTCAAACATTGCCAAACCTCTCCAAAACTCCTCAGACCTCTCCAAACACCTATCCAGAACATCTTTGCAAACATCTCTCCAAACATCTCGAAATCCTCTCCAAACTTCTCCAAAACCTCTCCAAACTTTTCTAAACACCTCTCCAAACCATGTGATGAGGTCATTTGTGGAGTTCCCTCCTTTCAAGACACTTCGGCCTCTTTTTAACCACAGAGGACTATGCATGAAGATCAGAAGTAGTTTAACTCATGTGATGAGCTCGGGTGCCTCTCTCTGCTTGAAAAGAGACTGAAGTGTCCTTCGAAGGGGAAATGTCTCCATGCAATGAGGTCATTTGTGGAGTTCCCCTTTTTTAGAACACTTCTGCCTCTTTTCAACCACGGAGGGCTATGCATGACGGGCTGGATGTAGTTTAACTCATGTGTTGAGCTCAGTGCCTCTCCCTGCATGAAAAGCGGCAGAAGTGTCCTTCGAGGAGGAAATGTCTTAATTTGATGAGGTTGATTGTGGAGTTCCCTCCTTTCAGGACACTTCTGCCTCTTTCCAACCACGGAGGGCTACGCATGGCGGAGGAAGGAGTTTAACTCATGTGATGAGCTTCATGTCTATCTATGCTTGAAAAGAGGCTGAAGTGTCCTACCAAGAGGAAACGTCCCAATGCAATGAGGTCCATTGTGGAGTTCCCTCCTTTCAGGACACGTTAGCCTCTTTTCAACCATGTAGGAAAGTCAGAAGTACTCTAACTCGTGTGATGAGCTTTGTGCCTCCCCCTGTTTGAAAAGAGGCTGAAGTGTCCTATGTCTGGGAAATGTCTCAATGTGATGAGGTCCATTGTGGAGTTCCCTCCTTTCAGGACACTTCAACCTCTTTTCAACCATGGAGGGCCATGCATGACAGGCTGGATGTAATTTAACTCATGTGATGATCATGCCTCTCCCTGCTTGAAAAGAGGCTGAAGTGTCCTTCGAGAGGGAAATGTCTCAATGCAAAGAGGTCAGCTGTGGAGTTCCCTCCTTTCACGACACTTCAGCCTCTCTTCAACCACGGAAGACTACGTATGACGGCCGGAAGTAGTTTAACTCATGTGATGATCTCCACGCCTCTCCCTGCTTGAAAAGAGACTGAAATGTCCTTCGAGAGGGAAATGTCTCAATGCGATGAGGTCAGTTGTGGAGTTCCCTCCTTTCAGGACACTTCGGCCTCTTTTCAACCACGGAGGGCTACGCATGACGGTCAGAAGTAGTTTAACTCAAGTGATGATCTCCACGCTTCTCTATGCTTGAAAAGAGACTGAAGTGTCCATCGAGAGGGAAATGTCTCAATGTGATGAGGTCCATTGTGGAGTTCCCTCCTTTCAGGACACTTCAACCTCTTTTCAACCATGGAGGGCCATGCATTACAGGTCGGAAGTAGTTTAACTCATGTGATGATCTCCACGCCTCTCCCTGCTTGAAAAGAGGCTGAAGTGTTCTTCGAGAGGGAAATGTCTCAATGTGATGAGGTAAGTTGTGGAGTTCCCTCCTTTCAGGACACTTTCGCCTCTTTTCAACCATGGAGGCTTATGCAGGAAAGTCAGAAGTACTCTAACTCGTGTGATGAGCTTTGTGCTTCCCCCTGTTTGAAAAGAGGCTGAAGTGTCCCACGTCTGGGAAATGTCTCAATGCGATGAGGTTGATTGTGGAGTTCCTTCCTTACAGGACACTTTTGCCTCTCTAACCATAGAGGGCCATGCATGACAGGCTGGATGTAGTTTAACTCATGTGATGATCTCCACGCTGGGAATCTTCTAAAATCATTGCCAACAACCAGCAGGATGTCCTCGCCTCTCAGAAAACAAATGCAACTTCCTTCGGATAATAATAATTATGTTTTATTGCATGTATTACCAAAAGCTGAGCTTGTTGACTGAAAGATCGCAGGTTTGAACCCGGGGAGGAGGGTGAGCTCCCGCTGCCAGCCCCAGCTTCTTCCCACCTAGCAGTTCGAAAACATGCAAAAGTGTGTAGATCAATAGGTACCGCTCCGGCAGGAAGGTAAGGCGACACCAAATTGGGAGGGAGAGCCAATACTCCAGAAGACAGGAGCAGGATTCAAAACGATCTTGACAGATGAGAGAGATGAATGACCAAAACTAACAAAATGAAGTTCAACAGGGACAAATGCAAGATACTCCACTTAGGCAGAAAAAAATGAAATACAAAGAGACAGAATGAGGGGCGCGTGGCTCGAGAGCAGAACGTAGGAAAAAGTTCTTGGGATTCTCGTGGACAACAAGTTAAACATGAGCCAACA